GTGATGAAAGAATTCATCAGATAATCAATGTTAAGCTCAGCTAAAAATTTGCCATCTTCCAATGCCCTGACTGCAGTTATTGTCAAAACTCTCGACCTCTGTAGATTCTTGTTAATCAACGTAAGAAATTTCTAGGCTGCGGATAAGGATTTTCGGACGGAAAACAGGCTGTAATCATAAGCATTGGACGAGGGATTGGAATTTGGAACGAGCACTGATTTGCGGAAGGTAGGATAAGTGGTAGATTTGCATATAGTTGAAGGAGGGACAGGATTTGCTGGCGAAACGTTATCTGCTGAAGATTGTGCAGATAACGTTAGAGTTGCTAAAAGAATGCAAAAATAATTAACAGAGAGAGAAGTAGCTTATTTTCAATCATTTTGACAAGTGATGAACAAATGAATTGATGAATATGAAAACTTGTAAATTATATACACACACACACAGAGTATCGTATTTCTTGAAGCATAAATGCATGGAGGAAAGTCAACTTGCATTTAGTAGTTTGATTCTAAGGGGTTCAAAGATTCTAAAGATTCAAATCGACGTTATTTTGATGGAGTAGGAGATTATTTTGATCCCAATTTGGTGATTCGTGGAGCTTGGAGTGGTTTCGACCCCAAATAGCCAGAGTTATTATATATATAGGTAAAGCAATGTAAAATGTATGTATGTCTTAGATGAGAAACATGGTCATGGGTAGGTTGCTTTACAAGTTGTCCTTTCTTTTTAGAGGTGGTTTTGTTTCCCTGTCTTGTTCTTCCACAGTTCAATTGAGGATAAGGCAGTTATTGCTATACACAACAAACTTTGACATGATTAATTATCTACCATGTAACTCACCTATCCAAACAGAGTTAATATGATTTATTACGATAGGTTGTCTAATTATTATCATGTCATCGTTAAGTTTTATTATACATTCGTCCTCTCTAACTAGTAATTTCTTTTGATTCGAATGAAACAGTAACAGATTGTGGAAGAATACATTCATCTTCTCCAACAAGTAATTTCTTTGGATTCGAGGGTAAAAATAACAGATTTTGGAAGAATTTTTGTTCATACACAATCTCCGTTATACAATCGCTTCCCAACTACTGATTTTCTTTGGATTCTCCTGTTACCTCTCTCCCCGAAGACATCTTCAGAACTGAGCTCAAACAAAAAGGTATGTGTTCGTTACTGAACAATCTATTTTTAATAAAAATTCCTGCCTTTTGTATGTGATGTAAATGGTTTCTAATTGGAAAAAAGTATCGAAGTGATTGTTTCGTGATGTGACCGTAGTTTCACGTTTATGGAAGACAATTCTAAGGATCAATACTTGAGTCTCAAAATGGTGACCTTTTCACTTGGGTCGGGACAATGGATGAACGCGTGTGAAATAACTAGGCTTATAAATTCTTTAATTATAGGCTAAAGGACCCTTGAAGTCCAATGATTAATACATCATTGCCCAAAAGAGTTGTTTGACATTCATAAACATATAGTTGGGTCGTACATAAAAATTGGATTAATTTATATCGAAAGAGAAAAACAACACGTAAAGAATATCAATTGTCAACATAAATCAAGTTATATTAATCTTTCATTATAGTGAATTAGTGACTCGCTTGGGGATCATCAACCTGCTACGGTGCAATATAATGTAGACCAATGATGCAATTCCTCCAAGATTGTGAATAAATAAATTATTTTTTAATAATTCCATCTTCTTAGACAATGTGAATCGACATGATACTAGAACAACAATTGAATAAAACATGCATGTAATTGTACTTGAAAATCATGTTATGTATATAAATAAATTATTTAATTTTCTTTCTATGGAGTAACTTAAATTTTTAGACGAAATAATTAAAAATAAAAATAATTTTTTTTTTTTTGGTGGATAGAACTTTTCAAATTTATTATTCAAAAGTTTGACATATATCCATGTAAGTTACAAATATAATATTTCTTTCAAAGAAATGTAAATTCTTTCATTGTATTCCGTCCTATGTTCTCAATGCAAAGTAAACTGGGGGAAGACAAAACTTGTCTACTTTCTAATATTTTCACTCAATACTATCTATTTCAAGATAAAATTCTAAAACAAAATTTGATTTCTTTTATATAGCCCACAAACCAAGTGATTATGTCATTAAAAGCTTAACTTTTTGAAATGAAAAATATTTATCAAGGAATCATATTTTCAACATGTATATTATTATGTGTAGACTCGATTTATGTTTTAATCAAAAGCCGGCTTATAATTTTTATACCTTATATACAAAATATTCAACTACTTGAATAGTAAGCGAGTCGTATTAAGACTCGTATTTCATCTCAAAATCCCAACTTTATTAAAAGTCATCAAAAATCCTTATTTGCTTGTTGTTTGTATTTTTATTTGATGTAGGATTTATCCCTTAATATGTTTTCGCAAGATAGTAGCTTGTGTGTATCTTAAAATTTGTATGGTCGTTTGAGTTTTGATAAGATCAAATTGATTGTTTAATTAGCTTTAATGAGCTATGATATTATATTAAGATTTAGTATTTCATCTTAAAGATTAATCTTAATAAGAATAACTCGAGTCCTATATATCTATTTATTATTTAATTCTTTATTTAATATGAGAGTTATAAGTAACGGACACGACAGAAAATCATGAGAAAAAGACTTTTAACATGTGCTGTGTAGATTTTTTTCACATGATGGTTTCAAATAATACAATTTCTCAATCATGCATGTGTTACAAAGACTAGATTACTCTCACAAGAACATGGCGTAGATGTAAAGGGCAAAGTAAAGAGATTTAAAACTAAATTATGTACAATGACAGCAAAATTAAGGATTTCTGCAAATTGTTGACTGCTTTGTCGTAATGCCATAGAATCATAGGTTGCGTTTTCACAAGGTATGTGTTTTTCGCATTTACTATCTCTAATGACATTCCGTTGTTGATTTTAAGCATATGAAAGAAATAGGTAATGTCAATTATTCTTAATCTATCAATTCGATTCTATGTAACATCTACCAAAAAATTTAACAAAATCAAGTTAATTTTCTAGCAGCAATACCGAATTTACTCATGTATACTATTCTCTTCTAACATGTTTACGAAATAAGGAATGTTTTTGTATGTGTAAGATTCATTCCAACTAAGACGTGGTTTCTTTAATTTCTTGTTAATATGATCCCTTTTTCATTTTTTTTTTCATTTAATAATACATTCTAGTACAACTACATGTTCATCTTAAAATGATTTTTTTCCCTCATGTTAGAATGAATGACTATGATATATGTGGGGAATGCCCCAGAAAAAAATGAACTAGGGGTTCGTTTGATTGAAACGAATTCAATGGAAAATGTCATATCTAAAGAATTCGTTTTCTACTTTGGCTGTTTGATACGAAAGTGGAAATGAAGTTCGAATTCTAAGGTACAAATACTTAAAACATTTTTTTGGCCAATTCCATGAATTTTGTTGTGACATTTTTTTATGGAATTTAATGCTATCAAACGGACCCTAAAAGAGAGACCAAAAGATCAAATTGATCAAATTCACCCAACATGACCTTTTTATTAATCCTCGAGCAAAAACTATATTTCATTTCAATGTGCAAAAGATATGATCACCCTTTTACAAAAATAAAATAAAATAAAATATATGAATGACGATTATATTCCGGTAATTAAAGCCTATTTTTGGTCTCCATTTCTTCAAAATTCATTTTCAATCACATTTTTTAATTAAATAATTTTACATGTATATTGAAAACTTTTTCTCACTTTTTAACCACACGTTTTCTGACAAAATAATGTTCTCAAATACATTTTGCCCAAAAAATAGGACTCAAACTAGGTTTAAATCAGTTCACTTGTAGATGGTGACCACAAGAGATAGAAGGTGATAAGCTTTCATGGCATATTGTGGATAGTTTCCACAAGTAAGCCTACACCTATCCATATATCCTCTTGATTCAAGTGCAGAAATCCACATGCTTATGGTCCTCTTTTGACCAAATCAATTTACTCAAAATCTTGCCAATATAACCCATGCTTTTGTTCATGTCTTTTGCCCGACAGCATTCTGATTTCTGAATCATGTATACTTCAACTTCTTCACTCTTTTAACTTTCTGGAAGGTCTCAACATAAATGTGTGTTGTGCGAACCACCTTGCAATGCAGAAGAAAATATGGCCATTTTTGGTTTTTCATTAGCAAGCCACAACTGAACTAAGCCAACGTGTAGGGGCCCACTTTCCAAGCGACAAACCCTACGGGCTACCAACAAAAAATTGGTTTTATCCTAATGTAAATAGAATTTTTGGACTCTGTTATGAAAAAGTGAGAAAACAGTAATGGTAAGAAGAACACATGGATTTACGTGAAAATTCAAGATGAGAAAAAACCACGGACAAAGAAATTTACTATATGAAAGATGAGTACGAGTGATGAGCGTTTTGATGACTACATCGAATAATGCAATGAAACACTAATATAATTCATATATAATAAAAACAGGTCATACATTTTGGTTTTACCACAGACCCAATAGAATAATAAAATGGGATTGGGCTCCACTACCACCGCAGACTCCAAAAATTCTTTTAGTCTTGGTTTCACCATATATGTCGCGCTGCAATTTTTTCAAGCCGGGACAAATAGAATTCGAGTCACCGTATTCTAACACTTTTCAAACTCAATAGTCAGACTTGGACAAGTTCAAAATTGGCCGTATCGGCCAATTTACTTATGTCTTACTAAAGCATAGTATAAACCACCTGATAATCAAGTCCGATAGAACTGGTTTACAAGCTTCATGTCCAATGCAATTTTATCCAAGAGTCATTTTGATTAAAGCTTTCACGTGACAAGTCACACTGATCGTTACCGTTGAGGAGGAGTTCTGAATTGACACTACGTAAAAGAGAGAGGTATTGTAATTAAAAAATAATAAAAGAAAAAGATGATAAATGGTTCACCAACAATCAAAAGAAAAATGTAAAACCCAATAATTTTACTTATTAGAAAATAATTATTGTTAAGTAAAAGAAACCATGGAAGAAGCTTTAATCATTATTGCCAAGCAGGAAGTTGAAGGGGCAGCTTTTGCTTTATAAATACAGCATCGACCTCTCTGCATTGTCTCTGCAAAAACTCACTGGTTGGTTAGGATTTTGTGTACACTATAGGCAGCACAGAAATGGCTTACTCTTCCTCCTCCTCTTTGTTTACTTATTTTACGTTGTTGTTTCTTGTTCTGTTTTCCACTCAACTTCTGGGCGCCGCCGCCAAGCACTACCCTGTCCGCCACCGCCATATTGCCTCTCACAACTACAGAGATGCACTAACCAAATCTATTATGTTCTTTGAGGGACAGAGATCGGGGAGACTTCCTCCTAATCAAAGGATTACTTGGAGGAGAAACTCTGGGCTTTCAGATGGCTCTGCTGCTCATGTATTCTTATTCCCTTTTTCTTTTATTTTTATTTTTATTCTTATTTTTTTGCTAAAAAATGATCAGTTTTGGGATTTTTTGCTTTATTTTAACTGGGTTTTGCTTATTTTTAAGTTTAAATGACAATGCAGGTTGATTTGGTGGGTGGGTATTATGATGCAGGGGATAATGTGAAGTTTGGGTTTCCAATGGCATTCACTACCACCATGCTTTCTTGGAGTGTCATTGAGTTTGGTGGTCTTGTGAAAGGAGAGTTGCAGAATGCAAAAGAAGCCATTCGCTGGGCTACAGATTATCTTCTCAAAGCCACTGCTCAACCTGACACCATTTATGTTCAGGCATTTCTCAAAATCCTTACGTTTTTATCCCAAACAAAGCCGTATCGAATCTTATTCAGCAATAGTATGTGAAATTGAGTTGTGTTTTGGGCAGGTGGGGGATGCAGGGAAGGACCATGCTTGTTGGGAGAGACCTGAGGATATGGACACTCCAAGAAGTGTGTTTAAGATAGACAAAAATACCCCAGGTACTGAGGTTGCAGCTGAAACTGCTGCAGCTCTTGCAGCAGCCTCTTTAGTCTTTAGAAGAAGTGACCCCACTTATTCCAAGCTCCTTGCCACAAGGGCCATCAGGGTATAATTTAAATACCAACAATTTAATTCAACAAGATTGAGTTATTTTATTATATTTTAATGTACTTTTAAGTTTGGTTTGTAGGTGTTTGAGTTTGCTGATAAGTACAGAGGTTCTTATAGCAATGGTCTGAAACCATATGTCTGCCCTTATTATTGTGATTTTTCTGGATATCAGGTGATTCTTTTCATGTGTTATTTTTCTTGCATTTTGCATTAGTAGCCATCCCTAAATTTATGGGGAACACGATAGTTTGCCGTGAATTTGTCACTGATTCTGATCATTCAAGGATGAGCTATTGTGGGGTGCTGCTTGGTTGCACAAGGCCACCAAGAATCGAATGTACCTTAACTACATTCAAGCAAATGGACTGACCCTTGGTGCCGATGAATCTGACAATACATTTGGTTGGGACAACAAGCATGTTGGGGCAAGAATCCTTCTTTCAAAGGTCACATTCATTCTAAATAACTACTTTTTTAGTCATTTTGTACGATCAATTGATGGTTCAAGTTACAATTTTCAGGCATTTCTAGTCCAGAAGGTTCAATCCCTCCATGATTACAAAAGTCATGCAGATAACTACATTTGTTCCCTAATTCCAGGGACCCCTTACTCCTCAGCTCAGTACACCCCAGGTTTGGCCCCCCTACCCCCGTCCATCCCTTTACCCGACTTAGATTCTTTTCTAGTACTGCATGCCAAATACGAGTCCTTAAGAGTTTAGACCGATTCTAATCAAGTGGAGGGAAATGTTATCAGGTGGGCTTTTGTTTAAGATGAATGACAGTAATATGCAGTATGTAACTTCTACCTCTTTCCTGCTGGTCACTTATGCCAAGTACTTAACCTCTGCCCACATGGTGGTTAAATGTGGTGGAGTCACTGTCACACCGAAGAAGCTTAGAACACTTGCCAAAAGACAGGTATACAAAGTTTCATGCTATGATACTTTTGAGAAAATTATTTGTTTAACAACTTATTTTTGTATAATCTTTTAATGTTCTCTGTACAGGTGGACTATTTGCTAGGAGACAATCCCTTGAAAATGTCCTTCATGGTGGGCTACGGTGCAAGGTATCCACTGAGGATCCACCACAGGGGATCATCACTCCCTTCCACAGCCACACATCCAGCAAAAATCCAGTGCTCCGCAGGGTTCAGTGTAATGAAATCTCCGTCCCCCAATCCCAACATCCTGATGGGGGCCATTGTCGGTGGGCCCGATCAACGCGATTGCTTCCCGGATCAACGGTCAGATTACGAGCAATCGGAACCAGCCACTTATATTAATGCACCCCTTGTTGGATCCTTGGCATATCTTGCTCACTCATTTGGCCAACTCTAAGAAATTATGAAATTACAGCCCTTTTCTTTTAGATTTCCTTTTTCAGTTTATTGTTGATTAGTGCTAATTGTGGTTCTTATGTTTTTCCACAACTGTAACGGGTTAATTTGTTGGGTTCGGGTTGGGTCGCGTGACTGTGACTAAAGAATTTTGGAGCCATAAAATATTAATATGTGCACAGTTGTTAAGGTTGCACGGTCTATGATGTATGTATACCTTATTATTAAGGATGTGTTATAGTATTTTATAGAGTAATGGAGGATTGTGACTTTAATATTATGCCCTTGTTTGAATTCCATTCTTTTAGAAAAATTCATTTTTCAACAGTATTTTGATATCATTTCAATCATACATTTTTAAATAAAATAATATTACACGCAAATCTAAATCTTTTTCTTATTTTTTAATTATACATTTCTCATCAATACACTATTCAAAAATTTATTCTTCCCAAAAAAATGGGACTCAAACAAGGGCTATAATGATAGCATGTTTCGAGAATTTAATGGTATTAATGTTTTTGAGTTGTCGACATTTTAGTTGAACAAAGTTTTTTCTCATTTTCAACCATATAATTTTAGATTTAAAACATAGAAACATTTTATTAATTTATTAAAATTTCAAACCTAAAGAATGAAAATCAACGTTATTTTTATTTTTTATTTTACATGGATAGAAAAGAAAAAGAAGAATGATATCTACGAATTAAGTTTCTTGTATAGATGATTTTTACAGATGATGAGATTCGACATTGAATTGACTGGTTAAAGTTATTTTTCAATTTTACTACAAGTAAAAAAAAATTTGACAGAATTCTTACAAAAAATTGCTTGACAATTTTCATTAGTTTTTGACACAATAAACACAGAAAATACACCGTAGACACCTATATCATTTCTGTCGATAATTCCACGTATCCATGGAATTATTCATTATTTTTTGTCTAATATATGATCAAATTGTGCTAGTTGACAAACTGTCAAATTATTTGGTAAAAATTCTTATACGTTTAAGTACGATTGTTGAATAATTTACCGTTGTTTTCGGGTCCCAATGTTGACCGTTGGATATGTGGGATGAAATTTGGCGGGTAATGATTTACATCATATACAGCATGTGATGTGGGGGATTGTGAGTCACGTGGTCTAAAGGCTGCAGACAGTGCAGATTTGAAAATTTGACTGGAAAAATTAAGATAATCTTACATGTGTCACATGCCAATTCGTCTCCACTCTACTACAACAGTAAGAGAAGCTATCTAGGTGTTTTTAAGAAGAGTGATGCTATGCCAACGGTTGATAAAGAAAATTGACAAATCATGAGTTAATAAAATTTATGTCACTCATTTCGATTTTGAAATCAAAACAAATAAATTGTCAAGATCTTGTTAACATCTATTTTGTCAACTAACCTTGTCTATCTACTATGTACGAGTAGATTAATTGTTTAAAGAATCACGTTTGGTGTACAATATTTTTAACAATATTGTTAAAAAAAAAAAAGGTTGAACCTCAATCTTGAGGGCCTTCACTGTCTCGTCCCTAGAGTATCGTAAGGGAGGTAAATCGTGGGATGTGCCACAACAGATCAAGGAACAAGAGCTTGTCTGTATACTGGTGCATACAAAGAGTCTAATTCAATATCTCAGGAATCGGAACTCTCACACTGCGATTGCTAGCAAGGCTGAGATTACATTCCTCCTGTCCTTTGCACCACTGAATTATACCCCGAAGACTAATATTTTTAACAATATTGTTGACAGCATGTCGTGACATATTTTCATTGGAAATTTTAAAAAGCTATTTCTTCTTCTGTCCAACACATTTTTACCACCTACTAACATTGTCAACAATGTTATAGGAAAACATTGTACTTATCATAACTAACATTATCATTGTTGTCAGCAAATAATTGGATGAAAAAAATTATTTTTTAAGCTGTCTAAATAGTGTATTATCACATTAGTGCAAAACTCGGTGTATGCCATGATATACACCAGGCTATTAAATATAAATGATTTTAATCTATGGTAACATTCCTTTTTTCCTCCAATTTATAGGCAAATTTCTTGTTAAAAGTATAATTTCTCTTAATTTCGTAATATATTCTTATTTAATATATCTTTTTGTTAATAAACTCATTATATATATAATGAGTTTTTAATTTTGAAAAGTCTCTTATTTATAAGAATTAAAAGAATAGGAACATCTAAACCAGGTCAAAATAATGACTTGACAGCAATTTGAACTAATCCCACATAAAAATATTTAAATTTCTTCCTATGAGATTGGATAACATCCTTTGAAAATAAATTAATGTGAACATTTTGATTTTTGATAGGTAGAGTTTGCTTAAAAGTTTTGAAAACGTTATTTGGACGAAAATCTAACAGTTCTATTTCATAGATGGAACTTTTGTCCACTTTTGGAATAATCCAATTATGCAATCTTTGGTCAATTTGTTTCATGAAATCGTTTGATTCAAGTGATGCATGATCCATTTCTTCATCATTTTGAAAAGTGTTTAAAACACTATTATCTCTATTACTACTTGATCTTGCAAACCAATTTGACATTAAAGACATAATTAAATAAAGTAAAGATATAATAACTTATCACTATAGATACAATGATACATGATTACTGACTCTTACCAAGTTTACAATGAGACCACCCTAATACACCTACTTCGACAACACAGGCTGACTAACGCTATTCAGTAAACATCTATGTTGAAACCAGTTTTTCCTATGACACAGTAATCATATTAGGAAAAATATAAGTAAAATTTATAATTCCAACATATATTAATTTAGTATTCTTAATCTAATATATTAATTTAGGAATTTCAACTCTAATATATGCATAAGAAATGAAGGAAGAGCAAAGATAACGAACATGAGAATGAAATAGATAGAAATGTTTAATTATCATGATACACACGACCTAGAAATAGCCTTAATATTTAGATGGTCTTCTTGACAGTATCTTTTTTTCTTTTTTCTTTTTTTTTTTCCCCATCACATCAACTAGACATGGTTCAAAACATGTAGCATCATAAAAGAATCTTTGTGGACATTGTCTATTTTCTCTTATGTGATTATTGCAATCCACATTAAATTAAAAATGCTCTAAAGATGGAGATAGCGAGCTCATTATGTAATTAAGTGTCCAAATGTGTCGACCTGATAAGAAGGATCGACTGGATCACAAGGTGACAAAACACAAACCACCTCAAAATCAACTTCGGTGGTTTGATGTGCTCCAATTTACCCTTCTAGTGTGAGGATGGTTCTATTTTCTCTTTATATTGAGGTCAAAGTAAAACTTATACAAGGGATGTTGGATTCCTTGATAATTACTATTATATCGAGTCATGTGATCTTGTACTATTGAGATAAATACGAAAGCAGGAAGCAAGTAACGTACATTTACCGTTGTAAAAAAATTCATCGTAACAAAGAAAATGATGATTATAAGTTCTACATTATTTATCTCTTTTTTCTCTACACAAAAGATGCTCACATTTATCCTCGTTTTATCAACAGTCAGACGTGAATAATATAATTAAACTCGACTAGATCTCATCAAATTGCTCGAATCTCATGGGTGAATCAAAAGTTAGAGATACAATAACTTGACTAAAAGCCTCACACTACCCAGTCTAAAGCATTTTGAAAGAGAATTTATAGTGATTTAGGCTCTTCAGGCCGAAAGCTCGCTTGAACTTCTTCAAGTTAATTTTTCAAAGCTTACCCTCCGGTCTACAAACTATTTAATCAGTCCTTTTTGAAAGATTTTCTTTTTTGCATAATTAAGTGATAACAATTTTGATTTTCACTATATATAATTAGGATAAAACCATATGTACCGAAGGGGAGGTTACTGAAGCGTGTCCCCTCCCCTCCCCTCCCCCCCCCCCCCCCCCCCCCCCCCCCCCCCGGTTCATATATTTTCAATTGCCCAATCCCATTATAACACATAAACTGCCACATCACCTATGATTTATCATCACGACGATAAATAACATTATTCAAACAAAAAAAAAAGGGAATTAAAATTGAATTCTGGAGAATAAACTCTCTTTCATGGCGCACACATTTCTTTTGAGGTGGGAGAATCTTATCGTGTTACATTGAATCTAATTTTGACTTTTATAATGTTATCATTCCCTTCAACTCCAATACAACCTGTGGCTGGTTATATAGTTCTTGGATCTCCTATGAGCTGCCACCATGTAAAGCATACACCGAACAGTCTTCCAACAGACAAAATCACCACAAAAAAAAAAAAAAAAAAAAAAAAAAAAAATTAAAAAAGTCGACTAAATCTTGGACAACTTCAACATATTTATTACATTGGAGAGGTTTAACATGTCTAAGTACCTTCAATAACACACTTCACGATCAATAACACACTTCACGATCTATATACAAGAAACGAGTCGACTAAATCTTGGACAACTTCAACATATTTATTACATTGGAGAGGTTTAACATGTCTAAGTACCTTCAATAACACACTTCACGATCAATAACACACTTCATGATCTATATACAAGAAATGAGTCGACTAAATCTTGGACAACTTCAACATATTTATTACATTGGAGAGGTTTAACATGTCTAAGTACCTTCAAGTTTCCTTAAATCCCTACAACAGAAACATCACTCTTCTACATATAATTTGATCATTTCTTTAGGATCAGCTGATCGAGATGCCTCCTCTGCACCCTTTCTACTTTGGACCATCAACCGCCAAAGGAACAGATTTTACCTGAAACACGCAATGGCCAATTCATTATAGAAACTGCGTATACCCGAGCAGACTGAAAATAAATTACTTTGTGATGTTCAAAAAATATTTATTATTCATGCAATCTATTACATCAGAATGTATATTGGCAAAAATAGATTTTGCCTTTTCAATGCTAAAACTACTCGCAACATGATAGGTAATCTTACCAATTCACGAAACTTGAGAATGTAGAACATCTCAAGATAACGTCGAGTTTCACGGCGCTCGAGTTTTGATACATATTTCCAGAAGCCATAGACTCCCGCCAACGTCATCAGCCTCTCGGAGTAAATTTTCCACGTATACCTTCACCAAAATGGTTGACAACCATGTATTAAAGCTCAACAATGCAAAACAGTTTCTATAAATGCGCCAACTTTAAAAACTGCAACCTACTATTCACATGTTTCTCTAAGCTTTAACAAAATGTTAAGGAGGTAAAAATAAATAGCGATCTGTCTGTTCAACTTCTTGTCTCCTTGA